CAAAGTTTGATGCAAAAACGCATGATCGCACCAGCTCGCCTGGTGCGTTCCAGCCTGGGTTTAAAATGATTATAAAAGGTTCCCTGGTTCGTAGGAAAGATCGAACTACGTGTGTGAATAAGCTTGCCTGAGTGCGGTGAGAAAGTAGAAGATGCCAGCTCTATCAACAACGAGCAGCATGATGAAGAAGCAACAGCTATTCAAAGCATGAGGATTTGAACATTCAGACAACTTCACTGAGGAAATTTTGCGGTCATTAAAGGTGTATTAACAGACTGAAAGCGCTACGCTACCCTTCCCGACAACAATTTATCGCTTTCGATCTTTAAAGTAGGGGATTCAGTCATTTCTTTGGAAACTGATTACAGCGGTACTGATGACATCACATTGCTTCCTTGCAAGTTGGATGATCTAGCAAACCTGCGCCTTGGCCTCTCCAAAACAGTTCGGAAAACTGGCAGCGTTGATGGCCCACCATTAACGTTAATACAATGACGATCCAAATCCGGTGAAGCTGCCGCTGGCATTGCGACCGCGTGGCAGGACGAAGAGCCAACTGACGCCGACAAATCACTGATCGCAACTATAAGCATCATTTTTGCAAGAAAATTATATGAACTATTTTAAAGGCAGAAAATTCTAAATTTCCAGAAAGTGCGAGTAAAAAGTTTAAAAATAAAGGGATGCAGCAAATGGAATAGGTCGAAATTTCAAGTTAGGATCTTTGTTCTTGCTTTACACGATGATGTTTTTCGAGCGAGGTGAGGCGGTGAATGTGATGCAATGAAATTGTCATGGGAAACGAACTTCTCGGAAGTGAGAGGGTGTCCTTTTCAAGTGAGAAGAGATAAACTGCGTGCACGAGAATGTAGTTACAGAGACCCGTTTGTGCGTTCAGGCCACGTAAAAGTGACGGATCGCCGCCACTAGCTTTGCGGCTATCTGGGTCAGCATTGCTACTGCTGCCACAGGTAATTGAAGGCGGAGATCTGTAAAAAAATATTAAAAATAAAAGCAGTGAATGTAAGCACAGGATGCTAACGGTACTGCTCCCTTTGCCCGATATGGGATGCTTCTGGATGCAAAATTTGTATCGTCCATGACTAGTTTTCTTTCATGACAGCGTTAAATCGGCGCAAGAAAGGCAGTTAGCAATTCGGAAAGAATCGTTTAGATGCGTCTATAAAGTCACTTAGAGCAATGAGCGCAAGGCGCAGCGGAAAAGCCAACTGCATCAATGACGAGAAAAGAGCAAAGAATCAGAGAATTTAGAACGAAGGAAAAAATGAAGAAAACCTGAACAAATTTGGTGCCCAAACGATTGCAAGATTTTTGGAGTTCATATCAGTAAGATGTGTACACTGGCACAATTTCGTCAGGTGGCGTATCAGATATTTCGCAGTTCTAAAAGAATCTTTTAAAATAAACCACGACCCTCAAAATGAGGGAAAAACTTCCACCCGTAAACATCACCGACGTTGTACCGATAAAACAGTCAGCTCTGCAATAACCGCGGATAGAATGTCCCTGGATCTGTATTGAAAAAGCAGATACCTCAGAGTAGTCACTGATTTGTATTACCGATAGACAGACTGATATTTGCTGTGCTAGAAACTGAGGCTGGTCAATTCACGTGAAAAAAAAAAGGGTCGTAACTTAACAGATTGAAAACCCAGGCTGGAACGCATCGGGCGGGCCCGTGC